TATTTTTAAATAACCACCAGAGACATTGGAAGAATATTTTTCCAAAGACATCCAACCCACAAAAATAGACGTTGAGTTTTTTAAGAATATTTTTTCCATGGACCACCAGAGGCGTGGATTTTTTAAAGAATATTTTTTTCATGGACCAACAGAGGCGTGGATTTTTTAAAGAATATTTTTTCCATGGACCAACAGAGGCGTGGATTTTTTAAAGAATATTTTTTTCCATGGACCAACAGAGGCGTGGATTTTTTAAAGAATATTTTTTCCGTGGACCAACAGAGGCGTGGATTTTTTAAAGAATATTTTTTTCATGGACCAACAGAGGCGTGGATTTTTTAAAGAATATTTTTTTCATGGACCAACAGAGGTGTGGATTTTTTAAAGAATATTTTTTCCATGGACCAACAGAGGCGTGGATTTTTTAAAGAATATTTTTTCCATGGACCAACAGAGGCGTGGATTTTTTAAAGAATATTTTTTCCATGGACCAACAGAGGTGTGGATTTTTTAAAGAATATTTTTTCCATGGACCAACAGAGGCGTGGATTTTTTAAAGAATATTTTTTCCATGGACCAACAGAGGCGTGGATTTTTTAAAGAATATTTTTTCCATGGACCAACAGAGGCGTGGATTTTTTAAAGAATATTTTTTCCATGGACTAACAGAGGCGTGGATTTTTTAAAGAATATTTTTTCCATGGACCAACAGAGGCGTGGATTTTTTAAAGAATATTTTTTCCATGGACCAACAGAGGCGTGGATTTTTTAAAGAATATTTTTTCCATGGACCAACAGAGGCGTGGATTTTTTAAAGAATATTTTTTCCATGGACCAACAGAGGCGTGGATTTTTTAAAGAATATTTTTTCCATGGACCAACAGAGGCGTGGATTTTTTAAAGAATATTTTTTCCATGGACCAACAGAGGCGTGGATTTTTTAAAGAATATTTTTTCCATGGACCAACAGAGGCGTGGATTTTTTAAAGAATATTTTTTCCATGGACCAACAGAGGCGTGGATTTTTTAAAGAATATTTTTTCCATGGACCAACAGAGGCGTGGATTTTTTAAAGAATATTTTTTCCATGGACCAACAGAGGCGTGGATTTTTTAAAGAATATTTTTTCCATGGACCAACAGAGGCGTGGATTTTTTAAAGAATATTTTTTCCATGGACCAACAGAGGCGTGGATTTTTTAAAGAATATTTTTTCCATGGACCAACAGAGGCGTGGATTTTTTAAAGAATATTTTTTCCATGGACCAACAGAGGCGTGGATTTTTTAAAGAATATTTTTTCCATGGACCAACAGAGGCGTGGATTTTTTAAAGAATATTTTTTCCATGGACCAACAGAGGCGTGGATTTTTTAAAGAATATTTTTTCCATGGACCAACAGAGGCGTGGATTTTTTAAAGAATATTTTTTCCATGGACCAACAGAGGCGTGGATTTTTTAAAGAATATTTTTTCCATGGACCAACAGAGGCGTGGATTTTTTAAAGAATATTTTTTCCATGGACCAACAGAGGCGTGGATTTTTTAAAGAATATTTTTTCCATGGACCAACAGAGGCGTGGATTTTTTAAAGAATATTTTTTCCATGGACCAACAGAGGCGTGGATTTTTTAAAGAATATTTTTTCCATGGACCAACAGAGGCGTGGATTTTTTAAAGAATATTTTTTCCATGGACCAACAGAGGCGTGGATTTTTTAAAGAATATTTTTTCCATGGACCAACAGAGGCGTGGATTTTTTAAAGAATATTTTTTCCATGGACCAACAGAGGCGTGGATTTTTTAAAGAATATTTTTTCCATGGACCAACAGAGGCGTGGATTTTTTAAAGAATATTTTTTCCATGGACCAACAGAGGCGTGGATTTTTTAAAGAATATTTTTTCCATGGACCAACAGAGGCGTGGATTTTTTAAAGAATATTTTTTCCATGGACCAACAGAGGCGTGGATTTTTTAAAGAATATTTTTTCCATGGACCAACAGAGGCGTGGATTTTTTAAAGAATATTTTTTCCATGGACCAACAGAGGCGTGGATTTTTTAAAGAATATTTTTTCCATGGACCAACAGAGGCGTGGATTTTTTAAAGAATATTTTTTCCATGGACCAACAGAGGCGTGGATTTTTTAAAGAATATTTTTTCCATGGACCAACAGAGGCGTGGATTTTTTAAAGAATATTTTTTCCATGGACCAACAGAGGCGTGGATTTTTTAAAGAATATTTTTTCCATGGACCAACAGAGGCGTGGATTTTTTAAAGAATATTTTTTCCATGGACCAACAGAGGCGTGGATTTTTTAAAGAATATTTTTTCCATGGACCAACAGAGGCGTGGATTTTTTAAAGAATATTTTTTCCATGGACCAACAGAGGCGTGGATTTTTTAAAGAATATTTTTTCCATGGACCAACAGAGGCGTGGATTTTTTAAAGAATATTTTTTCCATGGACCAACAGAGGCGTGGATTTTTTAAAGAATATTTTTTCCATGGACCAACAGAGGCGTGGATTTTTTAAAGAATATTTTTTCCATGGACCAAAACAGGCGTGGATTTTTTAAAATATATTTTTTCAAGGACCAAAACAGGCGTGGATTTTTTAAAATATATTTTTTCAAGGACCAAAACAGGCGTGGATTTTTTAAAATATATTTTTTCAAGGACCAAAACAGGCGTGGATTTTTTAAAATATATTTTTTCAAGGACCAAAACAGGCGTGGATTTTTTAAAATATATTTTTTCAAGGACCAAAACAGGCGTGGATTTTTTAAAATATATTTTTTCAAGGACCAAAACAGGCGTGGATTTTTTAAAATATATTTTTTCAAGGACCAAAACAGGCGTGGATTTTTTAAATATATTTTTTCAAGGACCAAAACAGGCGTGGATTTTTTAAAATATATTTTTTCAAGGACCAAAACAGGCGTGGATTTTTTAAAATATATTTTTTCAAGGACCAAAACAGGCGTGGATTTTTTAAAATATATTTTTTCAAGGACCAAAACAGGCGTGGATTTTTTAAAATATATTTTTTCAAGGACCATAACTGGCGTGGATTTTTTAAAAAATATTTTTCAAGGACCTAAACAGGCGTTGATTTTTAAAAAAATATTTATTCAAGGACCAAAACAGGCAGAGATTTTTAAAAATATATATATTCTAGGAACTAAACAGGCGTTGATTTTTAAAAAAATATTTATTCAAGGACCAAAACAGGCAGAGATTTTTAAAAATATATATATTCTAGGAACTAAACAGGCGTGGATTTTTAAAAAATTTATATTTTCTAGGGCCTAACCAGGCGTGGATTTAAAAAAAAAATATTTATTCAAGGACCACAACAGGCAAAGATTTTTAAAAAAATATATTTTAATGACTAAAACAGACGTGGATTTTTAAAAATATAGTTTTTAAGGGACTGGTACACACGTGGTTTGTTAAAAGATATTTTTTTCATGGACCAAAACAGGCGTATATTTTTTAAAAAATATTTTTTTCATGGACCAAAACAGGCGTATATTTTTTAAAAAATATTTTTTTCATGGACCAAAACAGGCGTATATTTTTTAAAAAATATTTTTTTCATGACCATCATAGGCGTGGATTTTTTTAAATATATTTTTTCAAGGACCAAAACAGGTGGGGATTTTTTAAAATATATTTTTTTTCAATGACCAAAACGGGTGTGGATTTTTTTAAATATATTTTTTCAAGGACCAAACAGGCGTGGATTTTTTAAAAAATAATTGTCGAGGACCTAAACAGGCGTGGATTTTTTAAAAAAAATATATTCAAAGACCACAACAGGCGTGGATTTTTTAAAAAATATATATTCAAAGACCAAAATAGGCGTGGATTTTTTAAAAATATTTTTTCAAGGACCAAAATAGGCGTGGATTTTTTTAAATTTTTTTTTTCAAGGACCAAAGTAGGCGTGGATTTTTTAACTTTTTTTTCAAGGACCTAAGCAGGCGTGGGTTTTTAAAAAAATATTTTTTCAAGGACTGACACATATGTGGGTTTTTAAAAAAATATTTTTTCAAGGACTGACACATACGTGGATTTTTAACGACGTGAATTTTTTAAAAATATTTTTTCAAGGACTGACACATACGTGGATTTTTAACGACGTGAATTTTTTAAAAATATTTTTTCAAGGACTGTAACAGAGGAAAATTAAAAAAAACATTAAGAACTGAAACAGAGGTAGATTTTGAAAAAAAAAATATTTTTTCAATAACTGAAACAGATGAGGATTTTTAAAAAATATTTTTCCAAGGACTGAAACGGACGAGGATTTTTAAAAAAATATTTTTTTCAAGTACTGAAACAAACGAGGATTTTTAAAAAAATATTTTTTCAAGGACTGAAACAGACGTGGATTTTTAAAAATAATATTTTTTCAAGGACTGAAACAGACGTGGATTTTTTAAAGAATTTTTTCTGAAAAACCAACAAAGGCGTGGATTAAAAAAAAAATATTTTTCTGAAGATTTTAATAAGAATTTAAAAAAAAAAATATTTCTGAAGAACCAACAAAGGCGTGGATTTAAAAAAAATATTTCTTTAAGAACTGAAATAGACATGGATTTTTTAAAGAATATTTTTCTGAAGAACCACTAAAGGCGTGGATTTAAAAAAATATTTTTTAAGAACTGAGGTAAACGTGGATTTAAAAAAAATATTTCTTAACGACTAAAACAGACGTGGATTTGTAAATTAATATTTTTTAAGAACTGAAACAGACGTTAATTTTTAAAAAATATTTTTTTAGGAAATTAACATTTATTTAAAACAATGTGCTAATTTTAATTATTATTTTTTTTTAATTTATGGATTTTACACGATTTTTTTTTTTGAAAAAATGAAATATTTTATTTTTTTTTAATTTTAAAATTAATTTATATTTTTCATTAATTTTTTTACTTCTCCCATTATTGCATTCCCCCCTTCCTTGTTTCCCTTCAAATTCCCCCTACTTACCCTTTATAAAATCCACAGCCATTTCCAGGCCATACGAATCCTTGTCACAATCATCCAAAATGTGGGCACCCAAAGTAATGTTCGGCAACAGGCCCCGCTCATTGATGCGATCGATGGTGTAGAGCATTGCCTCCAGTGCCTGAATGCCACCCTGTGGCATTATGGGACCACACATGAGATTATCCTCACGCGAGTGGACCATCATCAGGCCACCAAGAATGACATCACCCTCCACGATGGCCTCACGTTTTATGGGCCAATGGGGATGGGCCAACATCATGCCCGTGCCATAGCCTGGCATTTGGAAGTCCTCTTCGGTTTCCGGTAGGGAACGGAATTTTTTACTACTTCCCGCCAAGGGGATGGAGGAAGAAAAGTGATTCGTAGGATAGCTGTGATGGGTATGGTGGGCATGGTGATGATGATTTTGCCGGCCCCGATGCCTACCCGAACGTGGTGAGGCCGCAAAATAATCTTGAGGCTGTTGATTGCTGGGATGTGGAAAAATACTCTCGCCATTGTCGAAAAAGAAATCTTCGGGCAGAGGAGAGGAGATATCCATTATGTAGGGATATATTGTGCTAAGGGGTAGGGGGGTAAAGGAATCTTCAAGATTCGATTCGCCATTGTTCCACTTTGCCATGAAACTTTCATCATCGTTTTGATAATTAAAATCCTCGAAGTCATTGAACAGCTCCAAGTCTCCTTGAGTTTTCTTTGTTGTGCTTTGTGATTGTTTCTGCTGTTTTTGTTGTTGCTCAGAATTGGTTATTGAATTTTTTAATTTTCGGTTTTTGCCTTTCATCGCCGATTTCTCATTAGACGTCTTTTGTCTGTGGCTTTTTGGCCCCCTACCACTACCCCGGCTCCGATGCCGCCAATGCTGTTTGTGACGTTCTAAAGTATCCAAATCTGTTTGAGGTGAGCGTTGAAAGTCTTCTTTGTGTTGGCGCCTAAAAGTATGCACCGTATGTTGTGGGTGAGGGTGTCGATAATGATGGGGTGTTTGTTGGTGTTGGTGCCGATGCTGCTGATGATGATGTTGTTGACACTTTTGTTCTTTGTGTTGGTAATGATGTTGGTAATAATGTCTCCCATCGTTGTTGTTGTTGTACACCTTGTCATTGTTGTTGTTAACAAATTGTAGTAAATGTTTGCCTTCGTCTTCGTTGTTGTTGTTATATCTGGCAGCCTCAGGTGTTGGAAAGGAAGCCTCATCATCTCCGTCATCCCCCTCATAGTCAGCTAGAGTTTCTCTTTCTAGAATTTTGTCCTGAACATTCTTCGCCTCTGGCAGCTGCTGCTGTCTTCCCTGCTCATGGTTGTTGTTGTTTTTGTTGCCTTGAGCATTGCCATCAAATTCCATATCCATATTTTGTGCTTCCTTAAAGACATTGGAATTGTCTTCCACAAATTTGTTGGCCTCGTCAATGTCACCCACCACCTCCAGCAGCAAGCCCTCACCACCCATGGCTGTAATGCTGCCATTCACTGAACCAGCTTCCTCCAGTGTTGCCACATCTTTGCCATGGCTTCTCCGTGCAAATATTATTATGGCCAATAAAATAGTTAACATTTTCATATCCATGCTCGTGTAAAAATGTAACATTTTTCCCAAGGCAGAGGAGAGAGAAAGAGAGAGGGTGGGAGAAATTGGTGGGTGGCAGGGAAATCAAAATGCAAAAATGGTTGGTATACTTTTTCCCATGGATTTTTGTTGTGTTTTTTCTTCCTCAAATTTATTCTCAATTCTGGGGTGCCTTGGGACCAGATTTTTTTTTTTGTGGGAATTGGCTACGTGAATGAGTCTTATTTTTGATTTCGGTTATTGTTTTCCGCAAATTGTGGTTGTTTGGTATTTTTTTTATTTTTTGTTATTTTTTTCCTTTGGATGGGTTGGGGAAAACTATGAATGCCGCCTTAGAGGATATGTTTTCGGTGCGTAATCAAGTTGTACATTTGTTGATTTGATATTTTTTGTTGTTGTTTTGGTTATTATTTTGTTATTTCATTTCATTTCAGAATTCGAAATCCAATATTTATATATTTTTCGTATTTTTTTGATTTTTATTTTCTCATTTAATTTTGGTTATGATTTTTGTCTTTGGTTGAATTTTCTCAAAACCACTCATTTTACGGTTTTCTTTTTCTTGGTCATGCTGATGATTTTGTTATTTACTGCCTTAATTGGTGATTAAATAATTTTGGGAAAATTAATTTTTAAAGAAATTTAATAATTTTCCGTTTCAGTTCAAAAAAATTATTTTTATTTTTTTTTTCTTTTTTTTATTTTGTAATTATTTATATATTTTTTTATTTTTTAAGTAACAATTTATTTTTCAATTTATGATTCAGATATTATACGATTAATTATATTATTTAATATTGCCTTAATTATCAATTAAAAATATTAATTTAATTAATTTTAGTTTAATTTTTTTATTTTTTTTTTAATTTTTTTAATTATTTTTATGTTATTTATTTTTTAAGTGACAACTTTTTTTTCAATTTATGGCTCAGATATTATATTTTATATATTTAAAATTGCCTTATTATCAATTAAAAATATTAAATTAATTAATTTTAGTTTATTTTTTTTTTATTATTTTTATGTTATTTATTTTTCAATTTATAGCTCAGATATTATACGATTTTTATTTAATATTGCCATAATTATCAATTAAAAATATTAATTTAATTAATAATAGTTTAATTTTTTTTTTTTAATTTTTGTAATTATTTATATATTTTTTTATTTTTTATGTCACAACTTATTTTTTCAATTTATGGGTCAGAAATTATACGATATTTGTTTAATATTGCCTTAATTTTCATTTAAAAATATTAATTTTTCAAAGACAATTTTATAATTTTTTGCCACTTCCCTTCATATTTTTTTATTATTTATATATTTTTTTTTTAATTTTTTACGGTTTATTTTTTTATTTTTTAATTTTAGTTATTTCCTTCGTTTATTGTGTATTAGTGTAGTGAAAAAAATATTTTTTTAATTTTTTTTATAATTTATAAATTTTTTATTTTTTAAGTAACAATTATTTTTTAATTTATGATTCAGATATTATACGATATTTATTTAATATTGCCTTAATTATGAATAAAAATAATTAATTTTTCAAAGAAAATTTTATAATTTTTTGCCACTCCCTTTCATATTTTTTTATTATTTATATTTAATTTTTAAATTTTTTGGAAGAAATAACTATAAAATCGAAAGTAAAAAAAAAATAAACTCTAAAAAAATTAAAAAAATAATATAAATAATAAAAAAATATGAAAGAAAGTGGCAAAAAGTATATATATATATATATATATATATATATATATATATATATATTATATATATATATATATATATATATATATATATATATATATATATATATATAATATATATATATATATATATATATATATATATATATATATATATATATTCTTTTTGCCACTTTCCTTCATATTTTTTATTATTTATTAATTTTTAATTAATTTTTAATTTTAATTTTATTTTTTAATTTTTTTACAGTTTATTTTTTTTTAAATTTCGATTTTATAGTTATTTCTTCCTTTTTATTTTTAATAAATATTTTTTTGTAAATATAATATTTTGTTGTTGCAAAATCGTCAGGCAAAATCCCATTATTGTTGTTTTTATAAAAACAACGTTTGTTTATGAGTGGAGAACGATGGTAATGTTTACCAGGGGGTAAGGCAGGGAATACCTAGGTTTCGGAAAGAGCCACCAATCCTCATCAGTTCCCTTGTTTCTTGTCTGGGATATTCTCCCCAGAAGTTATTTAAAAAATAACTTCTATGACAAAAAAACATTTTTTTACCCAAGTGACGAGATCGTAAGCTCAATAGAAGAGGAACAAAAGAATTACATAAAACTAAAATTATTTTGGAAAATCTTCTACATCTTACAACCGCACTTATAAACATTTACATCTTTCTCCACTTGTTATGCTTTCGTTCAACCTGAACGAAGTAACATAACCATGTAAGTTTGTTTTGTCTGTTACAACAAAAACCCCTTCGTCGACCGTGCCTGTGTCTATTAATAGAACAGTGTTTGGCTTGCTTGTTATACTATTTATATTGAATTTTTAATTTTTTAGAGTTTATTTTTTTAATTTCGATTTTATAGTTATTTCTTCCTTTTTATTTTTTATAAATATGTTTTTTTATAAATATAAAATATATATTTTTTAATAATTTTTTCTATTATTTTTCGCCACTTCCTTTCATATTTTTTATTATTTATATTTCATTTTTTACATTTTTTTAAGTTTTTTTTTTTCAATTTTGATTAATTATGACTAAAAATTAATTTTATTAATTTTTCAAAGAATATTTAATAATTTTTGGCCACTCCCTTTCAATTTTTTTATTATTTATTTTTAATTTTTAAATTTTTTTTAAGAGTTTATTTTTTTTTAATTTCGATTTTATAGTTATTTCTTCATTTTCGTTTTTAAAAAATATTTTTTTAATTATTTTTTGCCATTTCCTTTCATAATTTTTTTATTATTTATATTTTATTGTTTACATTTTTTGTCAATTTCGTTTTTATATTTTTATTTTAATAAATATTTTTTTATTATAATTATATATAATATTTATATTTTGTAATAAATATTTTTTTAGTACTTATATTTTACTTTTTACATTTTTTTATTTTTTTCAATTTCGATTTTATAGTTATTTTTTCATTTTTATTTTTTATAAATATTTTTAATAAAATTTTAATAAATTTAATATAAATGTATTTTGTTATAAATATTTTTTTATTATTTTTTGCCACTTCCTTTCATATTTTTTTTTTTATTTATATTTAATTTTTAATTTTTTTAGAGTTTATTTTTTTTTAATTTCGCTTTTATAGTTATTTTTTCCTTTTTATTTTTTATAAATATTTTTTTATAAATATAATATATATTTTGTTATAAATATTTTTTTAGTATTTATATTTTATTTTTTACATTTTTTACATTTTTTTCAATTTCGATTTTATAGTTATTTCTTCATTTTTATTTTTTATAAATATTTTTTTTTTATAAATATAATATTTATATTTTGTTATAAATATTTTTTTATTATTTTTTGCCACTTCCTTTTATATTTTTTTATTATTTATATTTAATTTTTATTTTTTTTTAGAGTTTATTTTTTTAATTTCGATTTTATAGTTATTTTATAGTTATATTTTTATTTTTTTTATAAATATAATAAATATATTTTCATTAATATTTTTTATTATTTTTTGCCACTTCCTTTCATATTTTTTTTTTATTATTTATGTTTTATTTTTTATATTTTTTTATTTTTTTTTCAATTTCGATTTTATAGTTATTTCTTCATTTTTATTTTTTATAAATATTTTGTTATAAATATTTTTTTATTATTTTTTGCCACTTCTTTTCATATTTTTTTTATTATTTATATTTTATTTTTTACATTTTTTTTATTTTTTATAAATGTTTTTTTTTTATAAATATAACATGTTATATTTTGCTATAAATATTTTTTTTTTATTATTTTTTGCCACTTCCTTTCATAGTTTTTTTTTTTTTATTATTTACATTTTATTTTTTATATATTTTTTTATTTTTTTTTTTTACTTTCGATTTTATAGTTATGTCTTCCTTTTTATTTTTTATAAATATTTTTTTATAAATATAATATATATACTTTTTTTAAATTTTAATTATTTTAATCAAAATAGCGTTAAATAACCACTCCATTATTTGTCGGCTGGGAAACGGACAATTCAGCTTTCGGCAAAATGCCGTTTATCGTAGAAGCCAAATAATTCTCATTTACTTGACCATGTCAGTCATTTGGGGTTACAATGAGAAAGTCATGCTTAGGACTTGACAAAGGATAGGGAGTTAATTCCAAAATCCTTTTCTGTCCTCCGACTAACAGAATCCTTTAGCTGAGAACCATTTGAACTGGCTCTCATTAAGTTGAGTGTCAAGTAATTATTATATAAAGGGGCTTCGGCTCATTGTTCCGCAGGAGCTTTGAAACGTTGTCCCGGAGAAAACTTCGGCTTGTTGTACCGTATCATAGCTCAAACATTGGTCCTCTACCGTCAAATATCTGGCGGATATTTGGCTCTAGAGGACCACGTTTCCGTACAGACCCACATAACTCCATACCAGATAGTAGGAATTTTTACCTGGCAAGTCGCAATATTTACATCATATTTATTTAGGTCCGACACGAAATGGCCAATATTGGCTCATACCTTCGAAACCTACTCCATAAAGGGTCAACAATTTGAATAATCATCATAAAAGTCAAAATATATTTAAATAAACGAACATTGACTGAGGGTATACCGAGACCGACAGATACCTTTTAACTGTTATTGAATTATATTATTTGCTTGTTAATTCACGTATTTATTATTTTAATTGTATTTATTTTTATTATTTATTTTTATTTATTTATTCATTAATTCATTCGTTAGTTCAATCGCCAAATCCTTCATTCATTTATTTATTTATTTTTGTTTGATTCGTTATTTACATATTCGTCTCACATTTTTTATTTAATTAAATTAAATATTTGTGAATTATTTTATTTTTATCCATTATTAGTTCTCCACACACACATTTATTGAAAAAATATTTTTTTTGTATTGTTTTTTTTTTTGTATATTTAATTAAAATATTTTTTTTTTTTTTGAATATACCTATATTGTTTTAAATTTCAATTGAAAGACAATTATTTTCTCCTAAAAGTATGCTCTTCAAATTGCCAAGAAATCTGTTCAATGGTGCTTTAATTGTTTTTATTTTGTTATTAAATTCAAATTTGTATTTATTTATTTTTTTTTTCGTTTTTTTTTTTTTTTTTTTTGTAGATGATAAACTACGCACACAGAAACATTTTTGTTTTATAAATATTAAATGTCTTATATTATTATGTTGAGTTTTTGTTCCTAATTTAAATGTAGCATTTGTACTAGCCTAAAAGTATGCTTCTTTTCGGAGCAAAGGATAACTGAAAATATTTTTTTGTTTTTATAAATTTAATTATATTGTGTGATTAAATGTTTCACAATATAATTAAATTTTTAAAA